TCTCAAGAACAGTTTCAGATATTGTATTTTAGGTATAACTAGACGTATTCCTGCCCTAAACAGTTGACACCACTTACAATTATTTTTTTTCTAAAGAAATTGGCTTGCCAATAACTTAGTCTAGTTGACCAATTTGTCCACGAATAAAATCAAACGAATTTTTTCACTATTTTTATCTATAAAACGATGAGCTAACATGACAGTGACCTCAAAAACTTAAACTACAAAATTTTCTATTGCTGACCAATTAATGAGACTAATTGACTTTTCACTTGACCCTTTTCTGACCTCTCAGATTGTTTTTTTTTTTTTTAATCCCGCGGAGGTAAATTTGCGGAGTTTCTCAAGTGGTCGAAATAAACCCCTCATTAACCAGGATAACATAATATGGTAGGAAGTCATGCTGATCGAAATCGTTCGTGCAGTTCCAGCGATACGCCGCGCCTCATACGACCACCGCACAAGGCGTGTAAAGTTATAAAATAACTACCTAGAGGAACTAGAGTTAACAATGACTACCTGTAACAGCCTTCTGTCGTTATAAATGAAGACAAATAATTTTTTAAAAAGAAATCACGGCTCAATTGGTTAGTTATTATTTAAACAAATATTAGTTTTAATATTTATTAATGCCCATAAGGGCACCTGCCGTTGTCACTTAATATATTAGGTATCAGGAAAGCAGCGGATGCAACAAGCAACCACAATAATAAAAGGCGAAGTCGACTTGCGTCGCCGATTAAAAACTTGTACGCTCGATCAGTACGTTTGGAACGCACAATCGCTGAATTTTTACATAATAGTGCATCTAGCCGTACACGAATAAACAATTAGTAAACGAAAAACTGAACTAAACTTAATAAATTTCGACGTTTCGCCTCTAGATTGAAGGTTTTACAAAAGTAAACACGTAAAGATGAAACCAACTTTATCGTTAAAATAATAAATATAGAAGTACATATTTTTAAAATTAATTCCAAAAAACTTCAAACAATTATTTTCAAAAAAAGCATATTTAAAAAACGCGACACACTGAAGAAATATGTTTTTAATGAAAATAAAAGTTTTGTGTTTTCAAAAATAGTTTAATAGAAAAATATTAAAAATATCATTTATATATGTAACATTAATTTAATTAGCGATAGTGTTTAATTTCAATANATTTTTTTTCTAAAGAAATTGGCTTGCCAATAACTTAGTCTAGTTGACCAATTTGTCCACGAATAAAATCAAACGAATTTTTTCACTATTTTTATCTATAAAACGATGAGCTAACATGACAGTGACCTCAAAAACTTAAACTACAAAATTTTCTATTGCTGACCAATTAATGAGACTAATTGACTTTTCACTTGACCCTTTTCTGACCTCTCAGATTGTTTTTTTTTTTTTTAATCCCGCGGAGGTAAATTTGCGGAGTTTCTCAAGTGGTCGAAATAAACCCCTCATTAACCAGGATAACATAATATGGTAGGAAGTCATGCTGATCGAAATCGTTCGTGCAGTTCCAGCGATACGCCGCGCCTCATACGACCACCGCACAAGGCGTGTAAAGTTATAAAATAACTACCTAGAGGAACTAGAGTTAACAATGACTACCTGTAACAGCCTTCTGTCGTTATAAATGAAGACAAATAATTTTTTAAAAAGAAATCACGGCTCAATTGGTTAGTTATTATTTAAACAAATATTAGTTTTAATATTTATTAATGCCCATAAGGGCACCTGCCGTTGTCACTTAATATATTAGGTATCAGGAAAGCAGCGGATGCAACAAGCAACCACAATAATAAAAGGCGAAGTCGACTTGCGTCGCCGATTAAAAACTTGTACGCTCGATCAGTACGTTTGGAACGCACAATCGCTGAATTTTTACATAATAGTGCATCTAGCCGTACACGAATAAACAATTAGTAAACGAAAAACTGAACTAAACTTAATAAATTTCGACGTTTCGCCTCTAGATTGAAGGTTTTACAAAAGTAAACACGTAAAGATGAAACCAACTTTATCGTTAAAATAATAAATATAGAAGTACATATTTTTAAAATTAATTCCAAAAAACTTCAAACAATTATTTTCATAAAAAGCATATTTAAAAAACGCGACACACTGAAGAAATATGTTTTTAATGAAAATAAAAGTTTTGTGTTTTCAAAAATAGTTTAATAGAAAAATATTAAAAATATCATTTATATATGTAACATTAATTTAATTAGCGATAGTGTTTAATTTCAATATTATTTCTAGTTTTTAATAGAAGAAGTTAGCCTTATAAAAAAGAAAGATCGTAACACACCAACCCCCCCTCTCATACTCGGCTCTGTTTCCAAATTAACAAAACAAATCCAAAAAAATATCACAGAAATATATTGTAAAAGAATTCAGAAAATAAAGTCTTACCCGCTTATAATAAAACAATTACCTATTTTTCTAACAGGGAAGTTGTATTGAAGTAATGTAGTGGTGTCCCTTTATAACTCCCATTAACTTACTTGTTTAATAGATCAAGCACATTGTACGAAATTCGTTCAAATAACTTCATATTTTTAAATAAATAATAAAAGATGGAAGCAGCTCTTTTAAACACCTGAAATGTAAGGATTTTTTACTACTTTTGAGTTGAGAATATAAAGGAATTCTCTGAATTTTTTTACCGATTTTACATTTCTGATTTGGCAACTCTTTTCGTCTATGTTTCATAAAAATTCTCCTTTACTTCTGATAGTTTGTATGTATGTAATATAATATCTTTGGAGAATACCCTTTTATCACCTACAACGCGACGTTTTAGGGGATTCCCCAAGTTGACTCACTTGTCTATATAAGTAAAAATTCAGATATTATTTTTTCATTAGTTTAACACAGTTTCTGAATACTCCTAGTAATAAAGTCTCGTCCTTTTCTATTTTGCCTAAGAGGGCCTAAATTGTTAGATCGGGTCCTGTTTTAGGGTAATTTGTTTTGACCAATCATAAAGTAAATATTTTATCTTATATTTAAGTTATGTTTATATGCAAATAAATTATTAAATTTAATATATATTGCCGCTTTTGCTATATCTACCGCTAACTAAAGTATTTTAAACGATTGTCAAATATCATCAGCACTCCAAAGGAAGTCTATAAATCATTGACTAAATCGAAGTAATTTTTTAAAACTAAATTATTAATGATGAAATACCAACTAATTTGTCATTTCGAAAATCTAGAAATAGTATTGCATATTGCGTTACATTTGTCATGATCCTTGTATTTAGTATTTTATAAATTTATAAAAGATACTCATAGCTCCACCTAATAGAATTACAAAATAATAATAACGTCGAATTGAATACTTTTGCGGCATCTAACGGGAGGATGCTACATCATTTCATAAACTTAGCAGGACACAAGAAAGAAATTAAATAACTATAATATACAGTTACCTTCTTTAAAAAGATATAATTAATAATTTAAAAATGTAAAATACTTTTCCAAAAGATTAAGAATATCGTGTTAACAACAAAAACTGCTGTTTTAAATTTCCTTTTAAATTTTTGATATTATTTTTCAAAAGCTTTTATACAAACCAAAATTGCTACTAGGTATTATAAATAACAAAATGATAATTTTGAAAAACTATAAAACTTCTTATATTAGCGGTAAAATAATCATTATAAATTTTGAAAACGCAAACCTAGATTATATACAGTAAAAATCTTATTGAAATAATAAACCTTTCATTAATGTTTGTGCATTAATGAAATGTTTATTAAGTGTCCTTCATTACCTTTTAGATTTGTAGACAACTTATCTACCTTTTTTTACGCAAAAGTAAAATATCAATGTTATAATATATAAATAGAATACGTAAAAAGATCTTAACGAACGTAATTATACAATAAATGAACTTACCAATTAAGTGACAGAGCTAGCGAAGATGCTGCAATTTGTAATTATCAAAAGCCGATCAAAAAGATGTTTTAAAATCGTAATAATTAAAAACGGCATTCTAAAATCACGGCCCGTGGTCACACAAAACACAATCATAACTCCGGTTTTACAGTAAGCATATAATGTACGTGAAAAACAAAGAGTTTTTAATAATCTGCACTAGCACATGCGATTTAATGTTTTTTACAGGTATGCGCAAGTTTGTTGTCTTGCATGTGCCTACTCGGATTTATTCGTTGCCTGTGTGCTATTCAACCTTTTTTTTGTAGCATTTTTTGCTTAGACGCATTAAGATGACTTTCAAAGGACATTCAAATATGTGCAGTCCGATTAGACACTGCGCAACTCGTTTACATAAAATGAATAACAACTCTTAAAAAGCGATGCAGAAACCAGCAATTTTGTACACGAGGAATTGAAAACATTTAATTCAACGCGACTTAAAAAATTGGTAAATTAGTAGTTACTGAAAATGTACCTATATTAAAATTTTATTTTAACGTGCTAATTTTAATTTGTAAATATGAACGTGTTAATGCCAATTAAAATAAAAAATTAATATTTTGTCACCTATTTAACGAAATGGTTAGTTAAAAACTAAGAGGTTTAAACAAACGTACGTTTTTTAACTAGTGTTTTCAATCGAATCAATATAAAAAAAGCATCCATCCTAAAAATCATAAAAACCAATCAACTTCTAATAAATGTAATATTAAAGGAAGTATTTCTAATAGTCTTAATTATTTATTTAAAAAACATACAATTTGACTTAAATACAAAATAAAAGTAATAAAATGAATAATTTCAAATTCGTATTTGCACGACGTGTTAATACAGAGAGGAATAGCAAGTAAATCTACTATTAAAATGTACAGAAACTAAAATACTGTAAACGGAACACAAAAAATATATATAATATATATATTTAATCATATATAGATATATCAAAAGCGTCGATAAATTATAATTTAATCAACAATGATAAACTACAGTATTAAAACTATTTCAATTCTTGTACGTAACAATCAACAGGACCGTTGTTAGTTCTAACAATTTTTACATTGCTTTACATTTTTACAGAACTATATTCGGGTTCAATTATTATTACCAATAACACTCTAAAGTACTATGAGATAGATAAATTTTGAATCTGTCTTAATTAAGTAATAAAGACAGATATAAATACAGTTTTTTTTTTAATGTATAGTACACAAATCAAATCTACAATTTCGCCTTGTATTGCCAAAAAAATAAAACATATACATATATATGTATATAAAGATATAATACATTGTATAGCATATATCATATCAAAGTCAATTTTCAATATCTTAGTTCTAATTAAAAAGCTTCTAAAAGACAGATTTAAAAAAGAGTTTATGCGCTTAGTTAAACTTTTTTTGTTAATTTATATGTAGCATTTCAGATTGTACTATCTTTACTGGTCATCATACAAGTAAAATTCTGTTAGAAGCGAAGGTTTTTTTTTTCACAACTAGTACTGACATATTTGTAATTCACTAAATTTTCTTGAACTGCAAAAAACTGAGAGAAGTTATTGCACTCAACTTTTGTATAACAATATGAAATGCAATTATCTTCTTAAACGTGTACAATGGTATATTTTTATTGCAGAACAGTACAATCCAAAATTCTGACTTGATAAATTTTCCGATCTGCCTTCTAAATCTATAAATATGGCAATATCAAGGCATCTTATGGATAAGATAAGATAAGAAATTCGGATGGTCCCTTATACTACATAATTTTTGTGCTAAAATTCAATCCCTCGTAATGTGCTGCTATATTTTAATATATTGCTGAAATTGAAACATCACAATTCGTTGTATTTACTCGAGGATAAATCATCTTTATGTCATGCCATGCCATCATGGCAACATCTCATCATACAAAATCAGCGTATAATATTTATTTATCTTATATAATAAATCAAGCTAAACTGTATCACAATAAATAATAAAGTTAAGTTGTCAAACATGCACATTGAAAGTTACTGGCCAATAAAATATAAAAATATTGCTGGTTACAGTGTAAAAATAACTTAACACTAAAATAAAACGAATGGCCTCTATAAGAAGTGTTCAGATTAATCGACTTCCTCACATTGAAAACTCTTTACCTCTACAAAATAGTGCTCTTTACTCTTATGTCTATTATTTTGAACACCTGTAGTAGCACTAAAAATATTTTTATTTTCTTATATACAAATATATAACAATTCCATCTTCAGTACAATACATACTTCTTTTCCAAGTTATGGCATTGTGAAGAACAGAACTAACTGCTACAGTACTTTCTCTTTATAAAAACAATCAACTTTTTAGTACTTTGCTCCCAATTATTTTTCAGTTCAAGTGTAGAAGTGCCTAAACAAATTAATATTTAAGGAATAATAAAAAAGTTATCTGAATTATCACAGACAATATCAAAATGAGTATCTATCAAATAAGACCACTGACTAAAATGTTTTTAAAGAAAGTAAGAATATACCTTAACAGTAGCATATAAGTGAGAAAGTTATCAGTTTTAATTTTATTATTGTATTTTCAAATGCCACTTTGCTATTTTATTTAAACGATCCCAAAGTCCCAAAAGTAAACAAAAGAAAATGCAAGCAAAATAACTAATTTACCGGTGCAACAATTTTTTCTTATTAATTTACAGCACATATTAAAGCACTTCTACAATATTTGCACTATAGTGCAAAGAGAATGCAAATATTCTGATATCACCCGATATAAAACCATTTTAATTAAACCGTTTTGTCAATCGAATTGAAAGCTGTATTAATTATTAATTCAGAAATACATAAATATGGCGTTTATATAACACTGAGAGAGCTCAAAACAAACTTATGAAAATTCAGAACTAAAATTAAATGATAAAAATAAAATTCTATAAATCGAAAACAAAAAGCAAAAGATAACAACAAGCAGACCTCTCAAAATAAGCAAAACTGTGCTAGTGATTTGAGGTGTTTATTTGTTATAAATTCCGATATCAATTCAAAAGAAGCTGTTTATTAAATTATTATGTATTCGTTTATTTAATAACAATCATTAGCCATTTACATTAACTGCGCACAGTTGCATGTCCTCATTTATTCTTACACTTCCATTGCAACTATCGAATTAGATCCATACCACCACATAAAACGTGTACCAATCAATAGTAAACAAAATTCGTTATAATTCAATTAAATAATTAGAAAAGGAAGAAATCTAACAGACCAAAAATGTGATATCACTTATGAATATCATGTTTTTGATTAATTTTTGACAAACTTTTTCGTTAAACAAAAAGTACATTTTTTTCCATCTGATTGAAATGTTTCATAAATAAGAAATACCTATTCATTTAAAAGTTTTGGGTGAAGCAGTATATATAGACTAGATAAATATTTAATTGGAGATATGAAAATAATAATCGCTTACAATGAACGGTATATTTCTAGTAAATGCCAACTTATAGTGATGTATACTTCAGCTCACTTCAGTATCAGTAAGAAGTAAGAACGTTCGCATTTCCAGTGGGCACTACGACCGGATGTCCAGCCTGCTGATGCATCGACAGATGTTGCGCCTGCTGCTGAACGATACTAGGGGGTGCACCGGTGGGTACAGCGTTTGACAAACTTTGCGCCTGGCTTACCTGCGGAATCTGTAACGTTGCAGACACCGACGTTTGCACCGGAGTAACATTCGAAGACGAAGACACTTGTGTGCCCGCAACGGGAGGCCGCAATTGACCATTCTCATTCGTGTGTCGTCTGAGGTGCCGTAACATATTACCCTTTTCGACGAATGTTTTACCGCAATCCGGACACGCATGCGGCCTTTCGCCGCTATGAGATCTCCGATGAGATACCAAATGTCCCTTGCACATAAAGTCTTTGTCACATAAGTCGCAGCGGAATGGTCTTTCGGCTTCCGCCCCTTTGTTATGAGATCGCTGATGAAACAGTAGATTTCCCTTTAAAGGGAACGATTTGCCGCATTCGCCACACGAAAACGGCCTCTCTCCAGTATGCGAACGCATGTGATTTATAAGGTGCTCTTTTCGCGTAAATGGTTTCGAACAAATAGTACAACAGTGAGGTGTTTCGCCGGTATGTTGCCGTAAATGATTCGTGAGATGCTCTTTGCGCGTGAACGTTTTTTGACAGAATTCACAGCGATGTGGCGACTCGCCCGTGTGTAAGCGCACATGATTGGTCAAATGTTCTTTACGCGTGAACTGTTTCGAACAAAAATGACATCGATGAGGCGATTCGCCAGTGTGCTGACGCACGTGGTTTGTCAAATGTTCCTTGCGAGTGAACGATTTCGTACAATACGTGCACTTATGGGGTGATTCGCCGGTATGCTGTCGTACGTGGTTGACCAAATGATCTTTACGCGTGAACGCTTTAGGGCAAAAGTTGCACCTAAACGGAGTCTCACCTGTATGTTGTCGGACGTGATTTATAAGATGCTCCTTTCGAGTAAACGATTTCGAACAGTACTCGCACCTATGAGGAGATTCACCGGTATGTTGTCGTACATGGTTGAGTAAGTGCTCTTTACGAGTGAACGTTTTCGAACAAAAATCACAACGATGTGGCGTCTCGCCCGTGTGCCACATTATATGATTCGTGAAATGCTCCTTCCTCGTGAACGACTTGCCACATATTTCACATCTGAAAGGCGTGTCGTTAGTGTGTGACCGCATATGATTAGCCAAGTGCTCCTTCCTTGTATACTTTTTACCACAAATAGTGCAATGGTGCGGTGTTTCACCGGTATGCCACATGACGTGGTTCATAAAGTGTTCCTTTCTTGTAAACGACTTTTTACATATTTCACATCGATGCGGAGTCTCTCCAGTATGTTTACGGACATGATTTACCATGTGTTCCTTTCTGGTGAACGTTTTAGCGCAATACTGACACCTGTATGGAGTTTCACCAGTATGGCAGCGCGTATGGTTTTCCAGGTGTTCTTTTCTCGCAAAAGATTTCGCGCAAATAGTACAATTGTATGGTTTGTCAGTAGAATGGCGTTTCATATGCCTTTCTAAAGATGCTGCGTTCGCGAAAACGTGAAAACAGACCGCACACGTAAACATGCTACCACCCAAATGACATTTGCCATGTCTGGTCAGCTCCTGGGCATTTGTGAATGCTTTTCCACACACCTGACAAGTGAAAGGTTTCCTTTCACTGTGATAACGTCGGTGGACAATCAATTGGTACCGGAATTGAAATATTTTTCCACATATGTCACAAACGTGAGTCCCTGTCATTATAATAGGAGGACTGTCTGCAGTAATTGAACTGGTAGATGGTTCGTGATCGCTCTCCGAAAGGGTTTTTGGGGTAACGATCTGAATATTGTTCGACATGTTGTTTTGTTGCTGAGGTTGCTGCTGCTGTTGCAGAGATAAATTCGAATTTCCAGAAGTGTTTTGGACTATATTGGATTGTGTAGCTATTTCACCCTGCAACTTTCCAAAAACTTCGTGATATGCTAACAACTGATTGAGATCGTCCACGTTGACTTTGTAAATATTTTGTACTACTTCGATACCGAGTGATTTTGCCAAGTCTTGTTCAGGAATACCTCCTGCTATTTTAACTGGGTTCCCATCGGTCGTTCTCATATCCATCAAATTCGATTTGACGTCCTGCATTCCGAAATGAGAGGCGCTGGTCAAAAGTTTTGGACAATTCGAAACATTCTTTTCGTCTTTAATTATTTGAATATGATTTTCGTTAACTGAATTTTGCTGATTGTTTCCTGAATGATTCTGTTCGTTTTGGACGTTATTCTCCATCCTTACGACGTTGTCAAGAACCTGTTGTACCTGCATATGTTGTAGTTGTTGCACCGTTAAAGCCTGATGATTTATTTGCTGTTGATTTCCATTCAAATGCATCTGATTTTGGTTTATTTGTGCAGCAATCATATCCTTATGTTCTTTACTATCTTCGATAACTGAAACCAAATTGTCCTGCACCTGTACCTGCACCATATTCTGTTGTTGCTGTTGGTGTTGTTGTTGCTGTTGCTGCTGCTGCTGCTGTTGTTGGTGTTGCTGTTGCGAGTTTTGTACGTGATTTTGTTGGCTGCTTTGAATTTGTTGCGTGTTTAATTGATTTGACTGTGAAACAATGGTTTGCACTTCGTTTTGCTGATTAGTGAGGGATTGATTGTGATTATTGTGGGTGTGATGATCTAAGTGCATGGCACTCGCAGGTATTGAAAGATTAGTGACGCCCTGGGATGTCGAAATGCTAACAGGAATTTGAGAATGTTGCTGAAGAAGAAGAGGATCGGCAGGCAATAAGCCAGCAGCCGCGTGCTGGCTAAGCATTGCCTCCTGTAACAAAACCTTTAATTTAATTAATTAAAATTTTATAGTTTGACCAGGCGAACTAAAAAAGAAAAAATAATAACATATAAAGCAATTATTTATTACATGTATATGTCAAAACCAATCTGCAAAATTTCAAACTTTACACCTGTAACCACTAATTTATCCACATCAATCATTTATGAGATTTAGATTATAAGATATTTAAGGTGTTGAACGTTGCACTGTTTTCTTACGTTTGTTAATAAAAATATTACACAAATGCTAAATTTTGAGACATATACACATACCTACGTATTAGATACAGTCTCTTTAACTACAAATAATATACATACACTTATAACCTACAACAGAAGCTTAAGAACTGTTCATGGATGTATTGTTAAGTGTATTAATAAAAAAGTAAGGTACTTATGTAAGACTACACTAAGACTGACACCTTTAAATTTAACAAATCTCTGATTTTTGAGTTTAGAAACTGAACATTTCTTGTGCAATTGATGACTTTTATTTTAAAATACTTTTTTTAACTAAATATAACAATCGTGTTAAAAACGACTCATTTTGCTGTAAAAGATTATTTTAAGTTCTTCAAAATTATTTAAGATTTTAATAAGTTTCAGTCTTTTAAACAAACACAAAACATTCGGGGAAACCCAGACGGATAACAGCCCTACAGCATACATACAGTATTTAAAAAGTAAGTACTTATGTATCGCGTTTTTAAACCAAAGTATTAATGTAAATGTGTATATATTAAGAAAACATTGTCAAACAGCGAAAATACAATATAATCACTTACATAAAAATCAATTACATAAACGCCAATTACATTTGCTTAACACAGAATCAAGAATTTGCTTATTACATATATTGATGATAAGTATAGTAAATAACACAAATTTATGCAAATAGGTAAGTGATACTTTCTTATTAAGAAGAATTATGCAATAAGAATTCCATTACCATTGATGTAGATATTGTTTTTTCTTAATTGATTGTTTTAAATAAGATGTAATGTGTTTTATTTTATAAGCCAATACACACAATTAACTAATTGAAAGTAACTAATTGCAAAAACATTTATCAAAAAGTCTGTAATAAATAATAATGCAATACAAATGAGCAAATGAGATGAAGTTTCTAATTCATATACGTAAACTTACTTGTGATATTTTTCCCTGATTATCAGCTCTATTAGAACCAGGAAGGCCATAAACTGAAACTTGCGGTATTGGACCTGGTAACAAATTGGTAAGCACCCAATATTTGGCTACACTACTTAAAGCAACTGCATTTAAGGCTGTTGTGTTAACTCTTAAGTCTGTTGGTACAGATGTTGCAGGTGGAGGCCGTTGAGAGGTGCCCTACAGGAAAAGCAATAACTTCTTATATTGTAGTCATTTATAAGTAGATTTTTCTACACAAAAGACATACATATGCATTCTCTTAACTGTCATACTAATTTATTAATCACACTAATTTTTTATAAACAGTATTTGAGGTTATGAACTAACCTCATTTATTAACATTTTCTAATGCTTACCACATTTTTAACAAATTATTTATTAATTTATATAGGATAAGCAAGAATTTTTTATAATAAAACAAGTTGATTAAATAATTTCCTAAAATGTAAGTTTTTTTTTGACAGAACTCTCAAACTGTTTAAGTGATGAAATAATTAATATTTTTAATAATAAAACTTTTGCAAGATGATTTAAATGTACATGAATATTAAGAAACGAAAAAATAAAATAATACAAACTGACAGTTGGCATCTAACTAAGCAACTACCTCATATTTACAATACTTTTAATGAAAATTAATGCATATCCTATGCAAGCAGTTTGTTTTGATGATTAAATACAATAATTTATCATCTCAGAATAACAGCATTATGAACTTAAATTTCAACACCAACTAAAACTAAATTCCTATTAATGATGAGCCACAAAACATAACCGTTATTCTACTGCAATAACAGTGCCACTTGCAAGAAATCAAGAATTTATAAAATATATAAATGATTGATAAGTGATCGGCATGTAAATTATTAAATCTACAGTAAATAATTAATAGCATAAGCTTACTTGTACTTCCGAATTTTCCGATGAGGTCTGGGCCCCCGATAGGGGGCCTTGCTCCGTAGAATTCATAATCAGCCCAGGAAATTACACTGGAATTATTTTCTTTCACAAAACTTTACCATTTTTTTAAAAAATGCATTTCGGAATAATCACGTGAACATTTCCACTCATTGTTCAAAGGCAGAGGGGACGCGAAGGGAAGCCATTACAAACAACAAATTCAATTTTTTTAATTATATCGAACAGTACATTACGCATACAGCTAAGTCTTAGTCCAAAATTGCCGGTTCATTTTGACATCCAGGAATTTAACACCTATCTCTATCTGCTATTATTCACTTACTTATAATCCAAAATTAACGCGATAACACAGACAAGAGGACGCGGGGTGCATCAAACAATAAACACACCAAATAAGATGGCGGAAGCTGCATACGTCACGTTCAAAACAAAAACAATCGGTTATCGGCGTTTGTAAGTTTTGCAAACAATTTTAAATTACTTAATTAATTTTATCAGTTGGACTGACCACTTGAACTCTTTTTCCATGCACTTACTTATTTCACCTACGAAAAAGCACATGCGCCATTTAACCACTAAATTCTACCGGCAAACTTGAACTGTCAGTCGACGTATTTATTTTTATTTTTATTTATGGGATTGAACATAACTATAACTAATTTATGATTTTAATTTACTATATAAAATTGTAGTTTAATTTAAACATAATTAACATTTTCCATGATTCTTCAGTAATCTTCTTCTATTTGATATGTACAAACTGTAAAATCTGTATACGCTATACAGGGGTTGTTTCAAAAGTAATGGCGCAAAAAAGACGAATCCAAATCGAAATAATTAATTAATAATAAATTAGACTTCATGTTCTTGATGCAAAAGAAGTAGAAGTACCAATTGCTGTTTATCTTTCCACCTATTTTTATATTATGCAACAATTATAAAGCACTTTCAAATAAAAATACTAAAAAGAAAGGGTTAATTTAACTCTTTTTAATAAGCAAATGTTGAAAAAGATCTATGATATCGTACATCTTTTTGTTACTGCTAAAACAAAATAAAAATATTCACGAATCTATTCAAATTTTTTTTTCCAGATGCATGATAGCTATTTAATGAAATAATTGTCTTTACTAACATACAAACTACAAACCATGATGAAATAGTACTTGTGTTTATGGTTCTGCGGTTGTATCCATTAAATTAAAACTATTTGACTTTACTAACATAAAGAATGTATTTAATATTCATTTTGTGGTTATTTTAATTTGATTTGTCATTGTCTTTTATTAACATGATTTACCAGCACATTTTCAAACTGTATACAGCAAGTTTGAACAAAAAATATACACTGTTATGACGCAAGCAATATCATGCCATCTACTGACTGTTCTTTTAAATACATATAGTTTGTATTTTACTTTTAAACTTTATTACAAAAAAAAGAGATCACATAGTAAAATGGACGGATCCGTTGCACTTATAAGTCTAATAACGTTTAATTAAAAAAAATAAATTAATTAATCTTCAACATCTTCGTTAACTGCAAGATCTTGATGAAAGTGTTCCTTGGGTGCCTTTTTTCTATAATGCGGTAATAGAGAACTGGGGGAGACACTCAGACCTCGCGCTAACGCCTCAATCATCTCTTTATTAACATAGTACGTAATGGGCAAACTATTTGACATATTTAAGATATGTTGGAGTTCATTGAGAAGTTCCTGAGCTTCAATGAAGTTTCCATTTGTAATATTATACTGCATCATCAAAGCGTACACGTCACCCCTACGAACAGATTCTTCTAAATCAGCATCTCGTGTTGTCAGAAGTTGGCGACACTGAGTCATACCTAAAGAAATTTAAAGTATAAATAAAGCATGTTTATTAACAAATACAGCAAATTAAATATTTTGCTTAATAATTAAAATTGAAATAAGCACGTAAGCTTGAAATTAGGTTGCTTACCTTGCTGAAAATCTCCATTCTCAAACATTTTTTTAATGTCAAGGAATCTTTTTATGTCTGTCATACGTTTCTGGACTATTTCCATTGCCTTTCTGTGCTGATTTAAATCTTTCGGTGAAACAGTTTTTGATAAGCACCGAGATGCTTCAGTTAGTGCACCAAAAGCTTTGTCATAATTCTGAAATTCATCAATTTCAACCTGAAATACAGCAAAAGAGACTTTAGAAATACAAAACCAAGATTTTACAATAATTTTACCTGAGCACAAGCTACATAGAAATTGGCTAATAAATCTGAAGCTTTCCCCTTCGAATAAAATGTTATAATATTTTTTAAAATATCCGGATTGTTCTGCCAATCTAGGGATTGCAAATAATTAGCAGCCATTATGTATATTTCCTTTTGTCTGGAAACAGTAGCAAAGAAAGTTATTTTTTCGGTATCTCCGGATTTTAAGAGAGCCTTCATAGCTTGCAACTAAAAAATATAATCAAATATATCTAGTAAAAAAGATGCTGAGGTGATTTAATTATTTTTTTTTTAAGTACACAAAGAAATACTACAAATTATAAAAACTTAATTTTCAATGATTTCAGAGAAACTATATAAATATAGATACGTTAAATTAAAGTATATTAATTGAAAAGAAGGAAAATAGTTCAAATGTGTAGGTACCCTATTTCCTGCTTGGGTAAATTTCTTTGTAGCCAAATGATAACTACCCTGCATCATTAAGCTTTCAGCTAAGCTATCCAAAATATGCACCCTTGTATTTTCATCTAATGTGCCCTTTTCAGGAGTTAACTTTTCCACCAAATCATCAGACAATTGTACATTATACTGCAGGCAAATTTTTATAGCATCTTCATACTTAAAAAAAAAACATTAATATTAAATGCTAAAACTCACATTAAAAATTACTGAAGCATTTTCTAAATAAAAATATTAAAATTACTTCTAGAAATCATAAAATATTACAATTAAGTACTTTAAGTAAGTACATGAGACATTACCTTTTTGCCTACAGCCAGTAAATCAACTGCCTTATCATACTGCTCATTTTGAACGAAATAATCTGCGCATTTCTCTATGAGTGCAGGATCAGATTCAGTATCTAAATCTGTCGCTATTCCTTGAATAGTATCAAACTGATGAGATTTAAAAGCCAAATCTAAGGCTTTGTGTAAAACACCTAAAATATTTTGATTACCAATTCATTAATTGTTTCAATAAACAGTTTTGGTATACCACCTGCTCTGTGGTATAAAATAACTGCTTTATCCAAATGGCCCGAGTCTTCGAAAAATCTAGCGCAGTTTATCTTTTCTCTGTTATTTGAAATCAACCCTATGCTCCACAATTCTTCCATATTATTTGTCTCTCTACACAGTCTAACAGCATTACCTACATTTTATAAAAGTTATTAAGGTAAGAAATAAGTATAAAGAAAATTTACTTATTTAATTAACTATTTTTCTTGGTCAGAATTTGCTTTACGCCATAAAAGGAAACTTACTGAAAGCTGTAGCCCTTGTATAGAATGAAATAGCTTTTTTAAGGTCATTATGCGTTTCATAATATCGTGCCATATGGTAAAAAGCAGCCTTGTCAGAACCAGATCTTGCAAGCTCAAAAGCCCGCTCTTCTTCCCCAATTAAACACAAACCACGAACTTGATTGTAGAGGTCTTCTGCCCTCTCATAATACTTAAGAGCTGTTTTTATATCACCCTGTGATTCAGAATATTGACCCCACCATTTTAATAATTCTCTTAAAATAAAAATCATGAAACAATTGGCGAAGAGACGCGCCAAGCACAAGAACATTTTTATTTTTTATCAAAACTTACAGGTCGTACCATTTTTGTTAGAATTAATATTCTATGAGGTTGAAAAGGCTGAAGTCAAATATTTCAGTGTTTTCTATAAATATTCTTTGTTTGCAAAGCTTTAAAGTAGCCATTAACTTTATTAGTTATTGGTTTCGCCTAATTCAAAACTGAATTTACTTTTGTATTATGAATATGAGAAGCCTGGCTATTACATATCAATATAATTAATTAAATATCAATAATGTAATAGATATAATATTAAGAAAAATATAGTTGTTTTTCTAGAATGCTAGTTACTTACTTGTCATTACTGTTGAGTATGTAAGCCTCCAACTCCCTGGGTTCCTCTAGGAGTATTCTTGGCACTTCTGATCGATGAGTGTTAGCCTTTTCATAATGAATAATTGCTTCTTTTATATTACCCATCTGCTCTAAGTACTTAGCATACCTGTGTTCTGTATTTTTATAATGAATTCTGTCTTTTGTTCTGGCCACTTCTAGAGCTTCTAACCACATGTTCTGTCGTTGATAAAATTTATTCAACAAATCGTAACGGTTACATTGTCTGTAAAGATGCTCAGCTTCTTCCTACAGGAAAAAAATTGGATAATTTTGATTCCACGTTGGTCATTTCTATTGGTATTTACTTAAACTAGCATGCAGCTCTCATACAAAATTTAAAAATGATTAATAATAATAAATGTTTATTTTTAAACAATATGGACAAAAATTATGAATATTTTAAATAAACAATTATATTTGTGAATTAATTATATTGTGGAATTTTGTATCTTTTGTAGGACAGGCATATTATATTAAAATACTACAATAAATTACATGCAAAACGTGGCTGATGACGACTTGAGCCGAGTAAACCCGATTCAGCGTCATCGACACGAACCCGAGGCATAGTGTGACGGTTCATAGTCACTCCTCAGCCTAATGAAGTTTTCACTTCAAAAATGAAATAATTTAATTAACATGTTTCTTTACAAGAAAGATAAATTTAAAGATGTGACATTCTCATAAAATTTTCAAATGGATTTAACAGAAAGGATTTAATAAAAATTTGAACTCATTTACTTGGTATATCCAGAAAATTTGAAAACAGATTAGTTTTCTTTTTTCTCCCTTTTCTTTCCTTTTGAAGACAAAACGCTTCTGGTTCTATTTCGTATATATCAATATTATTATTATCATATAATATAATAAAGAAAATTTACTTACCAACATTCCAAGTTCTACTGCAAGGGCGGCAACTTTAGCTTCCAGGGGCAAATTGGAATCTTCCATTACTACCCTCAAAGCACCAGCAGCTCTAGCATCTCCCATATGGCCCAAACAAACTGTAGCAACGTCCAATCTTTTCGTTTTCACACACATTCGTGCTAAACTATTCCATACTCCTTGGCTTTGAACTAATTTAATCGACTTGAATGCTGCATCCATGTTACCTAATAAAACATTTCCAAATAACTACAAATAGGTATTTTTAAATATTTCCATTGAAATAGAAAATAACACATACCGTGACTTATATTATAACTAAAATCAAGTATAGCTTCCTTAGTTTCACTGGTACAATTTTCGAGGCCATTGAAGTCTGTCATTACCTTGCGAACAATAATTAGATTTTCTAATAGTGCTATGAAGGGAGCAGCAACTCCTAATAATCGAGCATCAGAATCTATGGCTCTTATATCGTGAATATGAATACCATGATCGGATGAAACGAAAAATGTTAACAGAAGATGGTCTTCATTTTCAAAATCAATTTTAGTCTCTGTAAATTGAAGGAATATTAGACTGGTCGTTACTTTGAGTATTTTATTGATTAAAAGCATGTCGGTATAATAAGCTGCAAATCATATAATTAAATATTTCAAATATCTAGGAAATTTAAAAGCAAAGTATATAGACGTATTTTCGTCATAATTCAAACGATTTAAAATTGTATCTAATATTTTATAGGCATATTGCAGCATAATTGTATTTACACTAGGGGAAACGTTGAATAACATAAAATATCTAATCTTTTTATATCAAAAAATACAACAATTTTAAATTTTGTTTCTCTTTTATCGTTAGCAAAAAATATGCTTGTGTTAACCAAAACTTTTGTAGATTTCAGAAACTTGCCAATATCAAAAATGAAAGCTTAAGGTTTGCAAAATTCCTTTAAGTTTTTCCAATATCACTTGAAGCTATTTAATATTAAGTCTTAAAAATAAATCTAACGAATATATGTATAATGCTATATAATTCATTACCGTTCTTTTTCATATCAGTATAAAGCGAAATAAACTTTTTTCGCTCATTAGTATATTTCCGTGCATTACAGACAAGCAACTTTGCGTCTTCATGATCCCAGTGTAACGACAAGGGAACTCGTTGAGACCATATTTTCTCAAATTCCGTATTATTATCGTCACGAACACTGTATTCTATTTCGGGTGTTGCAGACTTTTCTTGACTGTCCCCTTGACCGTCACCATCACTATAACTCGTGGTTTTTTCGCAATTACGACAATCAAAACTCATTAGCTTTGTTAGTTCCAAGTCCCAAACGTACAATTTTCCGTCGGGAATCAAATTAGAAGCAGCCAAAGTTAAAGCAACTTTAGTGCCAACACAGTTACTTTTCGCTTGAATAATTTCTCCAAAGTCGTCGCAAATATCAAAGAAATTACAAGGAGGGGTTATTAATTTTGGTTCTTTTAACGACAAATCATATAGTTTAAGAACTCCATCCAATGTAAAAACGGTCAAAAAGTTATTAGTAACATTTATACCTATCGGTTCACCTTCTGAAGTAGTTGATGAAATATTAGTGACGTTTATACCATGTACAGTGAATATTTTAACCAATGTTATAGTGAGGACTACAATATTTTTCGAATATAATTCGATACTCTCATTTGTACAACGAAAGCTATTTATAAAGCTGGTAGCAATTTCAGGACGAGATCCGTTTTTAATGGATATATTGTAAACAGAAATATTATGACCATTTGTAACTGCAAGGTACTCCTCACTTAGACACATACAAGTAACTTGCAGATCAGTTTGAACTACTCCTCTGGAATCTTGGGTTTCTAGTAAAACTTGATTTGCTGATTGCTGAGTTGCCCAAATCTTGTCGCAAAAATTGGCACACAAGGTTTGTTCTTTCATTATGTATACCTTGGTAACACAATTAACAGTTACCAAGGGAATAGTGAGATTTACAGAGCCCCACATCAACTGCTTAATGGTACCGCTAATGTTACTTATGTTAGTCAATTCCCAAGTGCCTTCTGGAGTCAACGAAACGTCATTTTTTCGTTGTCTTTTTGTCCAAAAATAAATTTTTCCGGCATTAGTACCTGCACAAATTGTATGATTTACATTGCTGTACGCAATACATGTGAAATTCTCGCGTACATCCTGGGAAGATTCGCTTTCTTTTGATACTAAGTTCATTGTGACGGGTAAAATATAGTTATCATTTGTTTCGGTATCCCACATTCGAATATTTAAATCGCCTAAGAAATGATAAAAAACATATGGGTAAATTCAAAGGAAGAATATTTAATAGAGTACCTGTTAGAATTGCTAAACAACTGTTTCCTGCAAAAATTAATCCTTGATCGCTAATTCCACGGGTTGAATGAAGGCGACCACTTAATTTTATTTTTGAAATTTCAGTCAATTTTCCATTTGAATCGACAGAAAACTGACCAATGGTAAAGCCCTCCATCATAAGAACCAATGCATCCTTTAAAGGATGATACAGTAGATAATTAACAGTTGTACCTCCAATATTTAACACCTCTATGCAATCTCCAGAAGCATTTACATAAAATATTGAACCTAAAATATACATACTATTATTTAAGAATAAAATTAGGGAAAAATCTCATATTTCATGTTGTGTTATCATAATGAAGGAAAACTGATAACAAATAATCAAAATATACTGACCTGAGTGTGTAGCAACAAAGAAACAGTAGTTATCGAGGCCATCTTGGACTCTGAACTTCTTAGCTGTTGTTTTTGGTCTCCAGTTGCTAAAAATATCCAAAGCAGCCTCGTCCCCATTTACTGCAGCTTTGGCCAAACCTTCAATGTCAACATCAGGGTAACTCTTTCTTATTGCTCGAAATATTAAATGAGTGACTGTCTCTTTTAAGTCATGATGAAAAACCGTAGTAGCATCACCTTTACTATCTATCTTCCATCCCACCAAGGAACCAGTCTAAATAATTAACATCATCAGTAAGTCTTCAATTAACTAAAACATTACTTACTGAATCACAGGATGCAAGTCTTCCACCTTTTTCGCTGAACTTCAAAAGAATTATTGGAGCTTGGTGTAAACCTTGCACGTTATAAAAATCTTTATCTGCTCCATTCCATATCTTTATTTCACCATTTTCCCAGCCAGTTACTAAGATCTTTCTCTCAGGATGCCACACTAATGTGGTTACCTGTGAGACAGGATGAACTGGAGAAACAACATTTTGCAAAGGCTCTCCCTGTAATTTTTTTATTTTTAACACATTATTAATTAATTAGTGATCAACATTATTTATTTTTGGATAAATATCATTCATAAAAACATACAATCCACATACCAGTTCATCAAAAATTGTCACAAAACCTCCTCTTTCCTGAGAGTAACTGGCCACAGCAAGAAGTGGATACGTTGAATGCCATAATCCACATGTAGAAATAACACCACTTTCTTTAAAATTAACAGGATATTCGAAATACAAACTCATCACGCTCTATTTTGTTTAAACATTTTTATTATTTAATTATAGGTTAGATCGATGTCAACAAGTTTGAATTGATGCTTGTTGCTAGGCAACATGTAAAGCAACTACAATTGTGAAACTGGATGATTTCAAAAAAAATCCACATCAAAAAATTTCAATCAACATAAAACATTTTTTATTTCTCATTTTCATACAGTAAAAAATTAATAAATTTAGAGAATTTTAATCAAGAAACAATAAAAGCTCATACAGGGTGTCATAAGTAAACAAGCAGTCACAAAAAAGTCCCTTGAAATATTAGGAATAAGCCTGCATGGAGATACAAATCAATTTTATTAGATAATTTTAATGTTTATAATATTATATGTGCATATGAGAAATAATTTAGAAATATTTGTGCGCTAACATAAGCATCAAAACATTTCATTGCATACTTTAGTTAAAAACCAAGTAACATATTTAATTGAAAATAAAATCATCGACACAGGCACCATCAATTTTTAATATTTATAATAT